AATCGACCTAACATTTTGCCAAAAGCGCCGCCGTCGGCTTTTCCGCGACTTTTTGCGATTAGTGAGATATTAATCAAAGGCCGTTCCGCTCCGTTCCCATCAACCGTGTTAACGCCATTCGATGAAGTTTGCGACAGGATTGCTCAACGATTTGATTAGGGATAATACCGGCCTCGCTCGAAAAATGACAAAGGGTATAGGATTACGTTCGAATCCTCCGGTTTGGGGCCCGTTGCATTGACGCGGGAAAATGATCGCGGCACGACGGACACGTGATTTTTGCGTTTTCCGCTGATAATGATTTCGGCAATCAATTAGCGCGCGGCAATCATTCATCAGTCTTTACGTAGACTTTTTTTTCCCCTCCCCCCGTATCCGAATACATGATCTGTTAATTATTCGTTGCGACGATAATTAAAATTGATTCCTCGATGCGTATCGCGGAGCGAAGCAGTTGTTTGGTGCATTTGCATAATGGAAAAGTGTCGGAACAATAAAATTCCACATTCCATTAAGCTCCGTGTGTGCGAGCGCCGTTAGTAGCGGCGGTGATTCGGCATTTAGTTATTTTCAATCTGGCTGTGCGCGCGTGCGCGCTCGCCGTCGTCCAAGAGCAAAAATATTAACGAGAGTGCTCTCCGCAGAGCGCTCCGTCATCCTCGCAAATCTCCGCGTTGGCAAGACCGTAGACCACGTTCGCGCACAAGTCGTTTTGTGGGCCTCCTTTGACTCGCTCTCCTTCCCTCCTCCTCCCTTCCGGGACGAATAAAACCGGGAGGCCGGTCGCGAAGAGGCTCTCGACCGATAACGATTAATTAAAATAGCATTCTCGCGCGCGATGAGTGATGGTTATGTTCTCCAATTATCGCGCGAATTATCTCCCGGACGAGATAGCGGGACTCGAGAAATATTATTCGCTATTTTCGCGCGGGCTCGACACTTTCGCGTAGATGTAGAATTCTCGTAAGCGTAATTTGGCGAATCTATCGGGCCGTTTCGAGAGAGTTGTACGCGCGGAGGAAGCCGGGTACAGCGGCTGCGTGACCATCGCGGTCGCCGCGGGTTGAGAGCACCGGCGCGGTTAACCGCGGCAACCACAGCGACCGGTTCGTAGCCGCCTGCCGGCGTGGCGGCGTGGCGGCGTGGCGTGGCGGCGCGGCGCGGCGCGGTACGGTACGGTACGGTAGAGCGTCTCGCTCGTCGGCGCTTTTCGCGGTATATCGCGCCCTTCCTCTCGCATTCCTGCGTCTCGCTCGCACTCCCGCGGCGCGGCTACGCTCCTCGCGACTTCCTTCCAATTCTCTCGCACCATTCGGCGAACAGCGGAGCCGAGCCGAGCTGAGTCGAGCCGAGCCGCGTCGGGGACACGTAGAGGTATCCACGTTGCGAGCGAGCACGCAGAGACCGGCGCGGCAAGGTGAAGCGAGGCGAGGCAGCTTCGCGTAAACCGCAGCCGACCAAGCGCGACCGACAGCTTCGCCAACACTCCGCGGCACTACCTTATATTCCTTCTCGCCCCGTGAAAACAAGATAAAGAGCCGGCCGGCGAGCTGGCGGGCGAAAGAGCGCGCGCGCGCGCGCGCGAGGATAGACTCGTCCGCGCGTTGAATCGCGCAAAAAGCGCACGGTTCTCGCGATAAACGGAACCGCGCAATCGCCGTCGCGCTTCGTCGCGTATTTGTTATATTATATTTCATTAGGGAAAATCTCTCTCTCTCTCTCTCTCTCTCTCTCTCTCTCTCTCTCTCTTCAGCGGA